CTAAAAATAATTTACTCAAATATTTCTAAAAACAATTTTCTCAAAATTTGATTAAAGTTAGAAAAAATCCCTTGGATTCACACAAATTAATTTAACAACTCTTATCTGCAGAGTTTGGTACCATATGTGAAGTGTTACTGTACCAATTATACTCTGAGTGCCTTTGAGTTCTTTGTTGTGCTCTGGATAGATGATCAAAGTTGATCTCCTTTCAGGACATGTAGGGGAAAACACAAAACTACTAGTGTTGTCATTAAAATAATATCCATTAGGGAGGAGAGTGGGAAGGGACAGACTGGGAGTTCAAGATTTGTAGATACTGATGTGTATATATAGAATAGATAAACAGTTTATACTGTACAGCACAGGGAAATATATACAAGTTCTTGTAGTAGCTCACGGTGAAAAAGAATATGAAAATGAATGTATGTATATTCATGTATGACTGAAAAATTGTGCTCTACACCAGAAATTGACACAACATTGTCAACTGACTATAACTCAATTGAAAAAAAAAAAGCTAAAGGGAATCTCTAAAAAAGAAACAGTATCAGTTAACAGTGAAGGCTACCATGTGCTTGGTACTTGGCTGCATGTGTCACCTCCTTTAATCCTCACAAGAATTCTATGAAGTGGTCGCCATCTTACACCTGTGAAAACTGAAACTTAAAAAGATGAAGAAACGCACATGGTGAAAAATTTCCCAGGAGCTGTGGAGAGCCTTTCAGTCCCCAGAGCCCACACACATAGCCACAAGCCCCCAAAGCCACTGCCTCTGTTGCCCAACCTGGAAGACGCCCAGTATCTGCTTCATCAAAGCTTTCAGTCCTATGGTCGTTTCAGTCAAGGCAGGAAATGTTTTTACAGAGAAAGAAATCTATTCCACCGAGAATTTTGTAAATCCGTCCCAAACTGTTTTTTTTCCTTTTTATCTATCTTATCTTTTTTAAGAGAAAAGATGTCTATCTGTTGAATAACATGGACCAAGGAGGAGGGGGCAGTTCCTGCCCGTCAGCCACTTCTCCCAGTCCTGCTTCTAAGGAAGGCTATTTTCATTGTTTAAGCGTTGTACCCCAGACACATGAGCCCAGGGATGGATATGATGTTGTATGTCCTCAGCGTTCCATCCATCTGCTTATTCAGTTTTTCACGAACCTCAGATGTTTTTCTAGTGTCATTTTCCTTCTTTGCTTATATTCTTTAGAAGTCTCTTTAATGAAGATTTGGGGGGGGGGTCAATGTTCTCTGTGGTAGTTTATCTTAAAATGTCCTTATGTGTGCTCTCATTTTGATATTTAATTCTGTTGACTTAGTTCTGTTGAGTATACAGTTATAAGATGAGATATATTTTCATAGCAATTTGATAGTATCAGTCCACTGTTTTCTGGATTCTGGTATTACTGCTGTTGAAAAGTCCTTTGTCGGTTGAAATTCCATCCTTTGTAGGCAGTCCATCTTTTCTCTCTGACTCTTTTTTCTTCGTCTGGTGATCTGCAGCTTAATCGCGATATGTCTAAGTATAGACTTCCATCTCTGCTGGTGAGTTTGTTTTTCATCTTACTAGGGTTTGCCAAGCTTTATAAATCTGAGGTCACCGTGTCCTTCATCAGTTTTAGACCACTCTCAGCCAGCATCTTTTCTAATCTCCCGCCCGACTTTCTCTCTTTTGTCCTTATGGAACTTCAATTATACGTATGCTGACCTTTTACCTTTATCCTCCGTGTCTCTGTGGTATTTTCCTATCTCTTTAGCACTCTGATAATTTTGTTTTATTTCTTTAGCTTTATCTTGCAGGAGACTAATTCTCTCCTCAGCTGGAGCTAATCAGTTGGTTAGTCCCTGTGTTGACTTTTAATTTTAAATTATATATTTTTTATTTCTGAGAAGTCTGTTTCAATGTTTTTAAAAATATGCCCAGTCATCTTTTATAGTCTCTTGCTCCTTACTGATGTGTTCAAATTCCTTCTTTTATTTCTGCAACCATATTAACGTACTTGTTTTGTGTTATATATTGATTAATTTTATCTCTAACGTTTTCGTGGATCTGATGCTCTTCTTGTTTCTACTGAATCTCACTCATAATAGCTAATTTCTGTATGTGTGTATGTGTGTGTGTTGTCTTTTAGTGTGGTAGCACTTTTTATACATCTAATTTTAAAATCAAGGGTGTCCCTATTTGTGTGTTTATGTGTGTTTTAATCAGCTCATATTTGCTAGAACTCTATCTGAGAATATTTTAAAGCCTGGGTGGAGGGAGCTTTCCTCAAGGAATGATTTGTATTTATTTCTTCCAGGTGCCTAGACTATTTCTTTCTTTCATATAGTAAGCTTTTATTTTTTGGTGAATTCATTTTCATATTATTTAAATTATTTATTATTTGTTTCATTGTGTTTCTATGAATTACCTGTTAATATGAGAAGAAAGAAGTAAAATCATGTCATTCCTTAGGAAGGCATATATGCTCCATTTATAGGTTATTTAGATGTTACTTGTCAAGACTTTGTTTGTTTGTTTGTTTGTTTTGGCAGGGGGGAGGCAATTAAGTTTATGTAATTAGTTTTTTTTTTTGATAGATCTACTGGAGATTGAACCCAGAACCTCGTGTGTGCTAAGCATGTGCTCTACCACTTGAGCTATACCCTCCCCACCCCTGTCAAGACTTTTTATATTTCATCTCACATAGCTTTTTTATTCCACTTTTTAACTTTAATTGCAACATGATCTGCATGCAGGAAAAAATACACATATCCTAAATGTACAGCTTGGTGCATTTTTACAAACTGAACTTGTTCATGGAATCAACACTCATATGAAGAAATACTACATTATCAAATTCTCAGAAGTCACCCTGGTGCCCTCCTCCTGTCCCTACCCAGCCCCTCCCCAAAGGTTACCACTACCTGACTCCTCTCTCCCTCTCCTTTTTATAACAATTAAATGTTTAATATGACACTCTACACGGCTGTTTGCAACAATGCAGACTGGCTTTGTCGGGCAGGAAGAAAGATGCACAATGGTTCTTCTTGTCATAAGGTGTCATATGGAAACATAACACCACATTGTCACTGAGCATGAGACATAACGTGAGATGATAATTCTCACAAGTTTTTTTGAAGCCCACATAGTTTAACACAGAGCTTAAAAGTGATGTCTTTTAGGAAGTGGAGGGTTGTTTATTTTATATCTAATTTGCACAAATGATTATTCATGTCATTCCCTTTCATTAGAAGGGGGCTTGTACTAATCCACTGATGCTACAATTTGGGTGGAAAATAGAAAACACTCTCTTCCTTCTCAACAAAGCCAGTCTGCACTGTTGCAAAAATACCTCAGATTTCCAAGGTATATTTATATAAAAGTAAGAAGACAAAATTGTTAAAAGAGTCAGGAGGCTTTAGAGTTGCCACCTAGGATTGTAGCCAAATTCTACCATGATTAGACAGGTAATTTGGGGCTGATTGCCTGACATGTATCTCAGTTCTTCATTAGAAATATAGAGTTATAATAAATAGCACAGAGTTGCCATGAAACGTGAAGTATAAGATATATGCATGCCATTTAACATGGTGTCCAGTACGCAGAAAGCCCTTCATAAATGGACCGCTACCCTGATTTCTGAAAGCCTAGATTAACTCGACCTGATCGTTCATCAGACAAGATGTACCCTTCATGCCTGCCATTTTCTACCCCTCTGCATTGCTTCTGAGCTTCACCCACGTTATTGCACATAGCAATAAATTGTTCATTTTCATTGATATATAGCTATTGTGTTAATAGACCCCAATTGGTTTATCTCCTCTACTGCTAACAGGCATTCCAGTCGGGGGATATCACAAACAGGGCTACTGTGAACACTCTAATTCTACCGCATGTCTTTTGTTAACTATATGTATGTATTTCTGTTGAGCATATACCTAGAAGGAGGGTTGTTAAGCCATATGATTTGCATAAGACCCAGTTTTCCAGCCAACAGTATGTAAACGTTCCAGGTACTCAGCATCTTCACCAACACTTGGTACTGTCTTTTTCATTTCGTTTATTCTGGTGGGTGTGTAGTTGTATCTCATTAAGGCTTTAGTGTGTAGTTCCCTGATGACTAGTAAAGTTGAGCACGTAGACCCAGTATTAATTCACTGTTGGCCTAAAGTCTGCAGGATGAAACATAGTGTAGACTTCGACCCTATTCGCAAGTGAGAACCCGCCAGAGGCCGTGAATACTCAGGGATTTTATTGTAACTCCTCGTAGAAACAAAGCTAAGACTGGAAATTTGCCAACTCCCCTGCTGTCTGTCTGCAAATATTTGTAAAGTTTGGTATTTTGCTTATTTTGAGGGCAGAGGCTCCTGGATCCCAGCACGTGTGGGATGTCTGAGACCACTGCCTGTTGCTCGTTCTCTGCAGTCAAAGGCTCTAGTGAATTCCTCCAGACCTACATATGCCTTAGGGTATCCGGAGCTTTACGACTCACTTACCTCCCTGATCTCAGCTCCTGCTTCCCCATCCCCTGCTTTTTTTTTCTCTCTGGAAGGTTTACCTATTGATTTAAAAGGCTGGTTTTCACATTTTATTCATAATTTTAGGTGCAGTAAAGACTAGGCGATTTCAGGAATTTTCATTCTCCATTTTGTGTTAAGAGTGACATAAACTAAGGACCCTGGGTATGGTTAACTCTTCCAGCAGAATCCTGGCGTCTTGTGGTGGCTGGTCTCTTGCACGAAGGGCTCACTGATGCTTGGAAAGGGGTGGTTTTGAGGTCCTGTAGACCCCACAGCACACAAGAAGGCACGTCTTCCTTCCCCTGCGTAATGACTTTACAAAGCTTCGTGTGAAGAACCCCATCAGATAAATCATCCGGAGAACAAACAGGCCTCACTAGCACAGGAATAAAGACAGAAGTAATTCTCTAGTCTGTATGGAGAGAAAGATGGATTCTCTGTTCCCATGTGAATCTATAACATCAGACCGTTAAAAAAAAAAAACACACAACTAACCTAGTAAATAATCAGGTATAAAGGTAGGAACTAATGGTCACAGGATTTTACCCAGAACTGAGAACATTCTGCCCTCGCTTCTGCAAGAGTATGAGAAAGATAAAATAAGTCTGCCCACAAAGGAAGTAACAGAAAAACAAATGAGGGAGTATTCTCTAATTATTTATGAAGGTTCAGCAAGCTGCTATATTTTTAAATACTTCATTTTATCAAACTTCTTGGGACAGCTTTTTCTTAGCTAATAAGCTGATTTTGAAAGTGCCTTATACCTAGATTGCATATGAAATTAAAAAGTTGAAATCCTGTAATTGTACAGTTTATCATATGCTCAAAAGCATTTACTGATTACAAATCATTGAATTTGCCATCTTTTTTTATTAGCTCCTAAAATGAGTTTTTAACTTCAGTTTTGTGTTCTTAGATTACGTCCAGTGAGAGGTAGTCTAGCATCCCTGGCATAATTCTCATTTGAAATAGATCAGATATCTCAGCCTGATTTCATTCGCTGAAGTCAACTAGACAATTTTCCATTTTTAAACACCTTCAATGTAATTTAAAGCATTTTGATATCTTTGAATTAAAAGGAAATCGTTTCAAAAGTCCTGATGTCTCTTTTAAACATCTAAACTACTCTAGTTTACTTTTCATTACAGAAACAAAGGCCTTTTAAAAAGAGATAATCTCTGTGAAAACAAAGCCTTACCTATTCATGTTTGCACCAATCTCCTCTGAGTTTCAAGAAGAAAACCAAACTGAAGACAGCAGTCTGTAAAAGCTTGTGGATAACCCGGTTAATCCTCCGGGGTCCTTCACCAGCATTCCGTGATAAGAAGCACATGAACTTCTGCTCATTAAAAAAAAACAAAATTGATCACCTTAGTAACTGCCAGGAGCCTGGATCCTGACTTCCAGCCATTGATATCTGTGTCAAAATTGATTTGCACCCATCCTTTGAAACCACTGGTGACTTAATCAGAACTTTGGAAAGCAAAGAAAAATGGAAGAAATCTTGGTGAAAGAGAATTAGATGTTGAAAACAAACTACCAGGAGGGAAACTTACCTTGCTATTTACCGTCCAAGAGCAAATGTAACAGGCATCGTAAGTAGAAAAAATGAACAGCACATGTACTGAGGACCAGCATGATCTGGATCACTATTTGTTTCCAGTGGTTTACATCTTCGTACTAATAGTCAGCGTCCCAGCCAACATTGGCTCTCTGTGTGTGTCTTTTCTGCAAGCAAAGAAGGAAAATGAATTAGGCATTTACCTCTTCAGTTTATCACTATCAGATCTGCTGTATGCATTGACTCTCCCTCAATGGATCGATTATACTTGGAACAAAGACAACTGGAGGTTCTCTCCGGCTTTGTGCAAAGGAAGTGCTTTCTTCATGTACCTGAACTTCTACAGCAGCACAGCATTCCTCACCTGCATCGCCATTGATCGCTATTTAGCAGTTGTCTACCCTCTGAGGTTTTCTTTTCTAAGGTCCAGAAGATGTGCATTCATGGTCAGCCTGTTCATCTGGGTATTGGAGACCATCATCAATGCCGTCATTCTGTTGAAAGATGAAACAGCTGTCGAATATTGCGATGCCAAAAAGTCTAACTTTACTTTATGCTACGACAAATATCCATTGGAGAAATGGCAAATCAGGTTCAACTTTGTTAGGATGTGTGTAGGCTATGCGATACCTTTGATCATCATCCTGATTTGTAACCAGAAAGTCTACCGAGCTGTGCGACAAAATCAAGCCACGGAAAACAATGAAAAGAAGAGAATCATAAAACTACTTATTAGTATCTCGTTGACTTTTGTCTTGTGTTTTACTCCCTTTCATGTGATGTTGCTGATTCGCAGCATTTTAGAGCGTGATGTGAAATTAAATGAACATGTATTTGACCACAACAAGTCTGGGAAGCAGGCTTACAAAATCTATAGAATCACAGTTGCATTAACAAGTTTAAATTGTGTTGCTGATCCATTTCTGTACTGTTTTGTAACTGAAACAGGAAGATCGGATATGTGGAATATATTAAAATTCTTTGCAGGGAAGCCTAATAAATCAGAAAGACAAAGAAAAAGCTTACTTTCTCTATCTACCAAAGATACCGTGGAATTAGACATCCTGGAATAGAACCAAGGAATTTTTTTTAAGATACACAATATTGTATCATCAAGATTATATTCTGAAAAGGAAATCTAAGCATGAAAGGGGACTAAGGTCTTCCAGTTGAGAGATTGTTTTAATCCTCTCCAATGGAAATGTTTTTTAAAGTGCACTGTATAGCACCCTGATTTTTATTAAATGAGAATTAAACAAAATTTAATGTTTTCCTAATGACTCAGGAGTGTGATTGTTGGTGGCAATTGTTTTTGTACTGTGCTCTAATCTCTCCGAGGTGAGTGAGGTGTATGGCACTGTGTGTCTTGAAACTGGTGACCTTTGTGTCTGTTGGTGTGATTTTCTCACTCTTTCCATGGATTTCCAGCTATTGACTGTCCCTCTTCCCAGCCGCAGTACGTGCCTGTCTCCAACAACCCCAACTACTAAATACTGCTTCTGATCTTCTCATTGGTTAACAAATACTTACAGAGCCGGCTCTAGGTACTAGATTTTGTGTTAAGTATTGGGGTTACCAAACGAATGATCTCAGGAAGGCTTCTGAAGCAAAGTTGAAGCTTTGGAAACCCAGTCACCGAGTTTGTCGGAGTTCTTTAGTAAATAGGCTCTGAATGAGAGTCTGAAGGCCTCTTCCATGAAATAAAGTACACGAGCTTTGTGAAAGTTCTTTCAGCTACTCAGAGAACCTCTTCGCTTTCTTTAAAATCACAACATTTTAAAAATTTTGATTCCTTCTAAATTTGCAGTTGAGTAAAGTATAGTTGAAATTACCAGATGTCCAATGTCCGGACAAAAAGACATTTATTATATGAAATTTTACATTCAGACACTTCTCTTGGGGCTTAGAGTATTTAGATAATCTTGATATAATATTTCCATTGTTTAATGTTATGATTGAATAAACAATTAATTGCCGCTTGTTCCTGTTAACTTTGAGAGCTTGATTTATTTTTTAAATTCGTACCAATTTTAAAATAGAATTTGTGACATACAGCACGCGGACGTTTCTGATTATCACATTTTTATCTTGTCCTGGACTTCTTTTTGCCCAGTCATCACTGTCATCATTTGTCATTTATACATGGGGCCTCTGTTCTTTTCTAGTGAAACCCATCCACAAGTTGCTATGGAAACACAAGAGCTACTATAACTCCCTGACCCGGGGAAGCCTTTGTGATAAGAAGCTGCTTTGTCTAGGTCCATCGGGTGACCCTGCATGAATCAGAAATCTGCTCCTCCAACAGGCACAGCCACACACAGATAACACATACTCACAGACACACACAAACAACCCACCTCATCACACAAAAACAAACAAAATTTCCCTGGAGCCCTTTAGCCCATGTTTGTACTGTTTCATGAGGCGTGTAACACCAACAAGAACACATATGACCTCCTTCCTTCTCAAATAATGCGCATGAGAGTGTTTTCATTTTCTTGTTTACGGAGTCAGCAGCTGGGGAGATTGTTAAGATTCTCCCTCCTCTTCCCTCCTCCCTTCTTTATCCCTCAGCCAGAAGTGACTGCCAAGGAAGCCGTGGTCAGAAAACTGGTGTCTGCATTGTTTCCATCGCTCTACTATTCTGGAAAAATCCAGATCTGACGGAGATGTTCTATTTACATCTCCTGGGCAGACAACTTTGGCAGGGGCTGGCGGGGTGGGGACACAAGAGTAGCCTCTTTTATTCTTTCTTCATAGTGTAAACACCTGATTCAACTCAAGTTAAAAAAAATATTTTGACCACTATTATTTCCTTGATTCTTTGGCATTTCATACAGCTCACTTATGGAGCACAACAGGATTAAAGTCATGTGTTTTAGTTGCATTAGCTGAATGCTCCTTTTTTGCAGGAGTAAGTTGACAACAGCAACATCAGGTCAAACTTGGGTGAGGGAGAAATGATGTAGGAGTTCAGATTCCTTGTCTCCAGAGAGCCTTTTCTTACTACATCGTTTGTTGCTGGCCAAGAAAAATCACACAGGGGCCCCGTCTACAGCCACTAGGTGTCGATCATGTTCTACTGAGGACCTTACCGTTCTTGGCTAGCTGCCACTCCCAAAGAGCAAAGACGGACTTAGGATGACATTTTCCATCCATGAAACAAGAAATATCCCCTCTGAATTGGAAATAAATGAGGGTAAATGCTGAAATTCTGTTTGCATCTATTATTTTTCTGCTTTCTAGAAAGCTGAGTAACCATCCAATCACTTGGTTTAAACTCCATTTATCATTTTAGTATTTTTTTTCCCCATCCAGTTAAATTGGTCTGTCTACACGTGAGAGAATATGGGCTAAATTGTATAATTTCTGGAGGATTGTGGCTATAACATTGATGACTTGTGCTAATTTAGCTCTCTTACCCACTTAAGAAAATACTGGTCACCTTTCACACACAGGAAAACAGAAAACACATGAGCTATAAGCAGTCTGCAATTTTGTCTACTGTCATGAAATCATTTATTTATGAAGTCAAGATGTAATTCAGTGTATGTATGATTTCAATTTCTAATTCGTTATTGTTGGATCTCAGCACTAAAAACTTACATCTATTATTTTGAATTGTTTAAATCTGTTCTTCCCCAAGGAACAGTAATACCATCATGTTCTAATGCAACAGCATTTGCATATCATTAAGCATATAATGGCCTATAAGCTACTTTTCCTAATCTCTTTATGAAGCACCAGTGGATTTTTATACATTTAAAAAATAGGTCATGATTCCTCCAATAGTGTTGTAATTAGGTGTTCAAAAAGCAAGCCAGTGAAGGAATAGGCTAAGGAAATGTCCATGTCAGTGTTCATGCAAGCTTTAGAATAACAATATAAATTTCGTTATCTAGGAAATATGTGCTCGATTAATTTCAAAATCAAATACAATCAAGAAATCTTGCTCTGCACTGACTGGACGCACCCCTGCTATGAAAAATATTAACTTCAGTTCTCAGTATTTCATTGATC